TGCCAGGCTGATGTGGCCGCCAATGCAACTTTCATAAGATCCCTGATTAAAAACTGCTCTGCAGTCCCCTGCCTCCTGACCCCTCACCTTGGCTGCGCTCCATCTCAAAGCTTGGGAAATTAATTAAAATTTCACAGAGAGATGGTATCGCATCACATCTCCAATGAAGGTGTGGGTGCAGGGTTGGAGAGGTGTGGAAAGAAAGAAAGAAAGAAAAAAATCAATCAATCATAATCATCTCCCTGTATTCCCCCGGCCGCTCGTCTCGAAGGCAGGAAGGAGCTGCAAGATGGCCACTGAGGCACTTCCTGTGAGAGAATTGAGCTCTTCCTGTGCCAGAGGGCCCAACAAACTTTACTAAATAACGTCATCAATCACGGTAGTAGGTTCACTCTCGCAGCCTCACAAGAAAAAACCAACACACACATAATTATACACTGTGATTTAGCCCAGAGGAAAGTCTGTCCCGGGTTTCCTCTTTTCCCAAGTGAGAAGCGGCGTATCTCCACTACCTTCTCCCCCACCGCTGGTCCCTCTTTACACAACAATAAAATTACATTTGCATTAGCTGTGAGAGAATTTGGTTGGATGATTTATTGAAGCAATCAACACTACGCTGGCCAATCCTCAGTCCTCTCTCTAAGCAAGAGCATGTGTGCGTGCGCTGTGGAGATTGGGTGGGGTAGCTTGAAGCTCAGAGAAAAGAAGAAATAGCTTGGGTTGGCTGGGGAGCTAAGGGGGAAGTGAGGCTGGAGCTGGACTGGGGAGCAATCACCACAAGATTCTGCCTTTGATTAGATTAGCATTAAACAACACCCTGACAGTTATGACAAATAGGTGCATTAGAGCCTGTCAGTCTTCCCTCCTCTGGGTTACCATGTAGCTCCAGGTCCTCCTTCATCTCTGGACCTCAGGCACTTGTGCATCGTCCACAACACAACAAAACGTGTACACCCACTGATGGGGAGGCAGACCACTAATCTCTTTGCTCAAAATATATTTTACGGAGAAGTAACAATGTCACTATCGGTAACTGAACTGGTCATAAGATATAGAAAATAAATATTGGCATAAACAATTTTCAGACAAAAATAACGTCAGAGAAATAAAATATATATATAAATCACCATTTGTATGGGCTATAAAAGTATTTGGTATTGTATTGAATAGTTTGTATGGGCTATAAAAGTATTTGGTAGTGTGGCTGAAAATATATAGAGTTTCTATACAGTCTCACAAATATATAAATATATATATATAAACCATGCATATATATATATACATATATAAACATATATACATATATATATGCATGCATATACAGTATGTATTATGTATGTACATATGTAAATATGTTTATATTTATTTATATTTACAGTACATATATGCATACATACATAATATACATTTATACTTTATATATTATAAATATATAAAGTATAAATGTATATTATGTATAATAATATGTTTGCGTTTGTGTGTGTATGATTTATACTTTATATATTTATAATATATTTATGTTTGCGTTTGTGTGTGTATATACATAAACATGTATGAGGTAACTGTGTGTGTGTGTTTGTTGCACTATAGATTCACAGAATGTATTGTGTGTCCAGTTCATTTACCGATAAAGGTCAGCAGAAAAAAAACAACATACAGTAACCAGGCTCTGAGAGCCTATTGCCAATCTGCCGTGCTGGAGTGATGCATTGACATCACCAATCATTGATCCTCCCACGCCTACTTATGATCCCGGAATTAGTATTCATGAATCCGACAGAAGCTAAATAAACTTGGCAACAAAACACCCACAAGACAACAGAGAAGAAAGGAATAATCAATGCAAAGCACCATCAAATCTACATTATCCCTTCTCATCAGCTCGGCCAGGGCCACCAGGGCCAGTGCTTGGGTCAAAGGTGACCCAGACAGGTCGGCCACCCTTGACCCTCAACCAATATTTGCCACAGCCAAAGATGCCTGCTCTCGGGTGTCTCTGCCCTCAGACAGAGATCAGCCTGAGTGAGGAAAGGTAGACGGGGTAGTGCGGAGCGAAGATAAGACGCCGCATGGCCCGGCCGTCCACTCTGCTCTGTGGATTTACTGCACTCAAGGTGAGCCTGATAAATCAGGGGAGGCAGACAAGGATAAGAAAAGATAAAGATGCCAGACTTGCCTGTGAACACAGAAGCATGACGAGCTCCACGACGGAACTGCTGGACTTCATACACATCAGGCCTGAGGATATAAACAAAGGGAGTCAGGAATCATTTCTACATATGCATTTTTTTTTACATGTTCTGGAAACAGAGAGAAACAGTGGACAGAGTGCACATGTGCAGAAAGCCAGGGGATTGGCTAACATGTGCCATCTGCAGAGGATCAGAGAGTATTGATGGACCTAATGAGCTGACATGATGTTACTGTAAACTAATACATATTTGGGCTTTGTATTACAAGTCCGACTTGGCCAGCATATGTCCAATTGATCCCTAATGGTGAGCCCCGGGGCTTTCAGAGGGCAGGGGGCCACGGGAGTGTCCAGAGTGAGCGGCAGAGGCACAGACGGTGAAACAGGCCCAGTAGCCTTTGGTCTTTCACATGTACCGTCAAACTCGCAAGGAAAAACACACACATACATACATACATGCAGCAGCGTGTACACCCACATACACACCCACACCTCCCCCCACCTTCTCTCCAGCCCCCCCTGCAGCTATCAATCAACTTTCCATTTTGTTTGGTGGCAGCAGACATCCCAAACACTGCTATTAGTGACCTGGCCTCTGACCTGGCCCCCTGGAAACCTTCAGCACCACCACCAGCCTATGGTGTACCATACCCTCATCAGAGTATTGGATTAACAGCCTGGAGATGTTATTGCATTCAAAAGGGGAGAGTATTCAGAAGATGTATCGGCAGAGAGGGCAGAACGGGGCAAACTGGTATCTTTAAAAAAACAGGCGGTGATGTAGTTGTAGGCCACGTGTGTGTGCAGCCCGGCCCACATTTGTTGTATCTGTATCTGTACCGTGTGACCACAAAAACTCACTTGTGCCCTCGATGAGGAGCTCCTGTCCGTGGCTGCCCAGCAGGGTCCGAGAGAGGAAGGGGGCAAAGTCCACAAATATTTCTCTCAGGAGCGGAGCGGCCTTCTCCAGAGCGTGCTCCAGACGCTCAGAGATACTGTGAAATGAGGAGATGGAACCCAAACATGTTAGCACAAGCACTTTGGACTACTTTTGGAACAAAAATGTTAAAAAAAAAAAGTAAAGTAAAAATTCTATTTAGGACTGTTTGTGCTTAATAAATAATTGCTTGTGTGCACCGACATGCATAAAAAGCTGATGCTTTGTGTGTGTGTTTGTGTGTGTGTGTGTGTGTGAAGAGATGGAGAAAAGAAGATGAATCACCTCATATTGTGGGCTGTGTTCTGGGTCACAGGGGACGGTGGGGGGACAGATGGCAGACTGGAGCTGCCTGGAACCTGGCCGCCTGCTACAGGGGGGAAACCAAAGAACTCTGTTATTAGTCTGGATGTGGGACAAGAATAGGACGCTACGCACACACACAAACACACACACACTCCCTCCGTCCGTCCTGCACAGCAATTTATTACACAAGCAAGCTTGCACTATAAACCTGTGTGGAAACATGCCTCACATAAAATAATACAATAGGCTCCATTCTAATGTATGGGACGCTGGGATTTATGGCTGAATAGGGCAAGTGGGGGGACAAGTATCATTTAATGGACAGATAATGGATGATATACTCTGAAAACAATATGTTCATCCTCAGGTTTCCAGTGAGAGAAGAGCTGGTGAGGTCTGAGTGTCAGAAAACATCGTGGTTGTCTTTAAATTCCCAGTTCAAAACAGGATGATTGGCAACAGAACAGCATGTTGTTGTTTTTGGTTTTTTTATTTATTTATTTGCCATTCTTTCAGTGTCACACCTGCATGGAGACGACAGCAGTTTTGTTTTTCTCCCTCATCAAGTCATTACATCCCACTTAAACCCCACTGGGCTGCTTCTGTGAATGTTTAATTGTGCAACTTTAAAGGTGCTTTACGATGTAATCCTGGACACTGGGGCTCACACAAAGGTACAAAGTCCAGGTTTTGATTGATCTGGCAGTAAATTCACTTTCCTGTGGCTCATAAATAAGCGAATGCCCAGTTGAATTTGGAGGAGGGGGATTCCTTCGGTGTTTCAGCGGACTTGTTTTTCCAGCCAAGACAGTCTCCGAGCAGGGATAACTCTCAGGGACTGACAGACAGTAATGTGGGCTGGAATGTAGTGTGTGTGTGTGTGTGTGTGTACGCATATGTGTGTGTGTCTGCAAGTAAGGTGTTAAACAGTGCCATGTGGACCTGGTGAGCGTGTCCCTCTTGAGTTAAAGGAGCTCCTTCAAACAGAAAGGAGTAAATGAACGGCCCCATTAGTCCTCCCACTGCCTCACTAAAACACACACCCACACACACACACAGACCTGATTTCACAATTAAAGAGAGGACTCCCTGCTAACGCTACGATAATGTCACTTCCCCTCAGATGGAAAAGCCATCACACTTTTATAGTCACACATGCAGAAAGGCGAGAAAAACAACATTATCAGAAGTTGGTGGAGTTCTTCATCGGTCCCCAGGTGGAACATTCAAAACAATATCACCTGCTAAATTAATTTGATGTCACTCAATCTGTAATCTTACTCTTAATCTCACTGGGTTTTTTACTAGCATGTGAACTGGTAACAGGTCTGGGGATCAAGGTTGGGAAACGAAAGCCGGGTCATGATCTACAGATAATCAGAGTCAGGAGAAATCAACGGTGGAAACTGCTGCTTAATTTGAAAGTCCTGACATTTTACTGTGACGGACGTGGCCACATGGTCTCAGGACTGCTTTAGAAAATCACTGTCAATCAACACGATCCACCGATGCATTAGAAATGCTGCCTGTGACTGTATCATGTTAAGAGGAAGTAATATGTCAATTTTTGGCAGAAAAGCTGTCGAGGTCTCCTCAGCCAGAGCTTCCTGTGATCAAGTGAGTCTTTTTTTTAAATAAACATTATAATCGCCACCCTTAACAATAAGAATTAATAAACAAATGTGTGTGTGTGTGTGTGTGTCCACTCACAAGCTGCAGAGTCTGCAGAAACGCCCTCAGAGGCATCAGTGGTAGATACCACGGCAACACCTTCCATAGGTGTCCCAGCTGACACGGAGGAAGCAGTGGCTGCTGGGATGGGTGTGGAGGTGCCTGGAGATGGCGCCTTTCCTGCTATCCTAGGTGCCACCACAACACTCCTGTGGAGATACCAAACAATTTTTATTATATTTTTTTATTTTTCACAGTACACCTGATGACCCTAACAACCCGCGGCACAGAGGTTGGGACTCACTACTACTACTACTACTGTCACACAGTTTGTTCAGCTCTGCTGTGTGTACTATACATACTTCATACCCGTAAAATAAAATAAAACAAATAAATACAAAAGTCCTACATCTAGAAATTAACTAAAATATTTTATTTTGTCAATTATTTCATAGTTTCTTAATCAAACTTTTATTCAATGATGTTTCCTCAATTACTCTAACTAATTTTCGGGAATGTGAGCTGGTCTGGACACATGCAAGTTATGTGAGCTAAAAAGAATAAATATAAAATAAATAAAAAAATAATCAACCACAATTGAGTTATGCAAATTTAAAAAAGGAAAAGAAAAAACACGTCTCCCCTGATTATATACCAAAACACTAACTGAAAACTTTAAAAATAAAGTCTTACATAAAAGAGTTAAAATGATAAAAACACACAGGGCTTACGTCCGACACATGGTTACCAGGATGACACTGCTATATTTGTGGCCCCGTGCACTGCAGTCAGGGAGGAAATCAGCATGTAGATAAGCTGTCAGTTAGGAGCAGGGCTCTGACAGACCACTGGCCATATCACAGAGAGCCTGGCCCGGCTTGTCAGTGCTGACAAAAAGGAAGCAGGCTCTAATCACTGGCTACTGCTCCCCCTCAGAAACACAAACCAATCCAGACTCGGAGAGATATGCAGGCACGCATCAAGTGCACATGATTTAAATGAGAGGGAAAAACAAAGGCTGAATAGAACCAGACCAAACAGACTGGGCCACGTACGTTTTCCCAGAATGCAGGGGAGAATGTTAGCTTTTGCGAGCACACAAGTTGTGCACAGTTGAGTCTGGCTCCCTGCGGCGCAGACACATACCTGGCTGTGGAATCAAAGGCCGTTTTTTTTGTTTGATTTAAGTCAAGCTGATCAGATCTGTGAAAAGTCACCGCGAATGTTGCATTTTGGACGGTGGACCTTTACTCTCGGTGAATTTACGATCTTTAAGAACAACAAAGCTGCACGTGATTCTCAGTCGCCACATGCACGGCAAAATGGATGAGCGAGTGTCAGATTAAGAAACCAAAGTTAGAATGAAAAATTTGATCTGATCAGCAGGTGGGATGAAGATCCAAGGATCTGGAAACTTCTGTCTCTGTTCAGACAGTGAGTGGTCATGATAGGGTGATAAGACGAGCGGTGCAGATGTAAAACACAGCAGGTGTTAACAGCAGGGGGGGCAGGGTGCAGAAAGGACCCCTGGTGTGTGTGTGCGCGAGAGTGAGTGTGTGTCCAAACTTATTTGAATATATGCATATGAGTGAACGAGTCTGTGTGAGCTTGGCAGGAAACATATACGTGTACGCATTCTGCCGTCCATCTGCTGCACAGCAAAAGCTCAGTGAATTATTCACGAGGTCATTAGCCACACTTATCATGAGTGGGCCGCCCCAGTCGATTAATCAGCCGTCAGCGGCCCCCACTCAACCCACAAACAGGAGCTCAGGGCAGTGCGTGCTTCTGCATGTGTGTGTGTGTGTGTGTGTTTGCCGAGCTGCGGCTGAATTATTTAAGGGCTCTAACCTGCGATGGATGTGTGCAGTAAGCACAGTGATTCCAGTAATCTCTGCTTTTTCAGCCAAAACAAGTGTAGGAATGAGTGAGGATGTGTCGGTGGTGCCGTGTGTAAAAATACTGTACTATTCTCGGGGGTGTTAACCTCCCGGCTCACCCCGTGTGAGGGAGGGGAGCGTACACACCCCGGTCCAGTCTTTGATGTCCACTTCCACTCTCTGTTCGTGCCAGAACGCACAAAAACATTATTCACCCACCACTTTAAAATCAGTTCTTATGAAGTCTGTGACATGTGACACTCAAACCAGTTCCGATTGGATGATAACGATGATGATGATGATGAACCTGAGCGACATTAGGTGTTTGTGAGTCGGACTAACAGAGACTAACAGAGGGGCCAGCAGAGCTATAAGAATTACAAAGTTCTCCTCGTGTATGTTTGTGTTTAGCCATGGCAGGAAGTACACCAGTTACTACGCTAACACAGCGTATCTCAGTGGTCTTCAACTGGTGGCTCGTGGGCTGAATTCAGCCACCAAACCCCATTATTTTAGCAACTGAAATCAACAACTGAGACTTAAAGAACCAATCCCCACCATTTATGACATTGGAGATTCCTGCTAAATGTACAGTACTGGCTGCATTTCATTTTACAATTAGGGAATAAAAATTATATAAAAAAGAAAATGAACTTGCTCGAAGTCCTTCGATTTGTTTTGAATCCTCACAGTCACATTTGTTTGTTTTTTACTGTACAACAGGCTGCCTCAGTCAGTCAGTTCTGTTAGTTTTTTTTACTCCAACACATGGAGCGACTTCTGAATCTGAATTTGAGCTGCAGTAGATCCAGAAATATGTTTCTTACAAACACTGATCATCAATTTAATGTGTTCACGCTCACTGGATCTGAACCACGTACACCACCTATTTAAATGACACACAACTAAAACTGATCATTTGTTAATGTCACCAGCCTGAAGAGACTCAAGTTGGATTTACTTTTTTCTCTTTGAAGTGACTTGGCTCACACTGTCAGCGTTGTGCAGACGCACCGACCCTGATTGTTCACTTCAATTTAAACGGCGGGCTCAGTGTCACTTTTATGTGTGGTTGAGATCAGACATGTGCTTCGTGTAGAATGTAGGCATGCGATGGGAGTCAGAGAAGTCCTAACAGGATCTTTGCAGCTGTTTGCCTTTGTGCACGAGCTGGTTGTTATCATCACCCTGCACCAGCAGAAATGTACAGTACAAGAACAAAGGAGCGTTTCTCTTTGCTTCTTCTCCACCTCTATCTGTTCAAACGCTTGTACTGTATACTGAAATTTTCAACCACTTGTTCAATCTTTTGACAGTCCTGTTGTATGAAACTTTTTGTTGGAAACTTTGTACTGCATTGTAAGTTAGTTTTATTCGTAGTTCAATCAGTAGAACAAAAATTTGAATATTAGTTTGGATTTAAGTTAATTTATCACCACCCAAACTACTTGTCTTATATTTATGTTTATGAAATTCTTAGTTTTTTTTTGACCATTGAAATAGGAAACTTTTTAATAGATATTATTATTTTAAATATGGTTAAATATTATTAGTAATTGAACATATGTTAGTATTATTATTATTGTTATGTAACAAGGACCTATACAGTGTTACATTATTCATTAATGTATATGGACCTGTCAAATATGTCCACGTGTTAGTGACACAATTTCACAAATTCACCAGATTTATTTCCTGGCTTCACATTTTCATTCACTGTGATTAGATCTTCAGACGTCCCGCCTTCTAGCCAACAACATAAGACTGATTGGCTCTCGCTCTCGTGTGTATCCTACAATTTATGTCAAATTAGTGCTGATTAGACTTGATTTCTCCTTTTAAACTCAACTATCGCTTTAATAAATGCCCTCATCATCTTTCAGCCCTACTTAAATACAAATTTAGTTTTGTTCAGTTGTCATCTTTAAAACGAAGCAGCCAGGTGACTTTTTGCATCACATGTAGGCTGACATTAATTATTGAAGGGAAGCTTTCCACTGTTTAGGCTGTGTTTGCCTCCGACATGCTCACCCTCTCCCGGAGCGGTACATTAACAACACTTCAGCATCAACACGACTCATCTGTACATCAACTCTCACACGCACGTCTCCAGCCAGGAATGCAAACAGCTACTCCATGTATATCCCAGCGTCCAGCACTCGCATATTCCACGCCGCCTAAATCACTTACTTGTACAATGACACTGTTTAGTTCTGGTTAGTGTCAGCAAATATTTGCAGACTGGCTGTCATAACAGGGGCATGGCTGAGAAATGGATGGGAGAAATCCAGCAGGACTCCAGTAGTAAATAAATCAGGATGGATACTACACCCTCTGACCCACTCCCGCTTTTTTATCTGAGGGAGAGCCCGGCTCTCTTCACGCATCGCTCCCATAAATTCTGCGCTGTGGGCACGCAGAAAGTTGCCATGTTTTGGCAGGAGTTGTCAGTGCAGAATGTCAGCCCGGGCTCTGGCAGCGTGAATCGGTGGGAGACTGGCCGTGAGCAGCAGACGCTGTCAGTGATGGAGTCATTAGAAGACGATAATAAACACTGTTAAAGCACAGCTTTATGTGAGGTAGGTGGATCCGGCAGAGAGCAAGGACCAGAGGCAGGAGGCTGATAAAGAGCTGTAAACCAGGAAGATAAGAAAATAAATATAGGCCCAGAGTCAGTGAATGCTTTGGGCTGTTGGATATTTTTAGCGGGAGAGCTTAAAATAATTAATAAGCGTTTTGTTTTTTTTGTTGGCTCTGTTACATTAAATGAAAGAATCTCATAAACAAACTGAGAAACAGATGAAATAATTAATGGCTATTTTAGATTTGACTCGACCTCATCCGTTAATGGATAGTTCATCATTTTTTTACCACCTGGTTTTTATTTTTATTTGAACCCTCTGCCTCTATCTTTCATCTGCTATTAGAAGCCAGCTGGGGTAAAAGTGTGCTTCCTCTGCCTGGGACGTGTAGTCCTCATGAAAAGGCTCCCACAGGCAGCCAGCGGAGCTGTTAGTCTATGTTCTCCAGCTCTCCTGATGTCCTCTCTTCCTACTGAGTGTGCTCAGCTGACAGGAGCCAGTCTAATCCCCCTGATATGAGGAGAGCTCTGAGACCTGACAAAGCATTCCTCAGATAAAGACATGCGATCACAGAGATCCAGCGGAATTCCCACAGTTGGGGGGTGGGGGGGGGTGGGAGGAGGAGGCAGACGTGTCTTTGAGCATTTGTGTGAAAAAGAAAACTGAAAAAAATGCTTCTTCAGTACAAGAGAACCTTAACTTGACATCACCCCTACAGAGAGCTTCTCTCTCTCATCTCTCTCTCTCTCTCTCTCCCTGTCTCACCCGTCACGACCCTCTCCTTCTGCCTGTTGTGACGGCGAAGACTGTCTCAGAATCAAGGCTACAAATGCAAACCAGACCAGTGACCATCTTCTCTCACCTGGGCCTGTCTGTGCCGCTCCTGATCTTTAACCTCCCCACGCCTCAGTGGGTAAAGTGAATTAAAAAAGCTTTTGTGTCAGCGAAAACCACAAGACATGCTTTAATGTGAGACGAAAAACAAAGTTGTTAAATATCAGTGACAGAGTGTGAGAAGAAACAGCTTCATCTCAGAGAGAACTCCTGTTTGTTCCTTGTTACTGTGTGGTTGATATAGTGACCTGCGTGCGCAAATAATGGACGCCAGGAGAATCCTTGGCGTTTCCTCTGCCATTTCACTGCAGTAAATCTACATATCGAGTTTGAACGTGAGCCCTCACCTGTCAAAAGAAATGGACTGTTCTCGGGCTGCATCCTCCATGCTTCCCAGAAACGCCGACGGCAGCAGACTTGGATCCACCATGATGTCATCACCCTGAGCGCTAACCAGGCTGCGGAGAATGTCCTTCACATTTTTGCCCTTTGAATCGCCGGCAGCACCGGAGGGTCTGACCTCAGACGACAGCGCGGACAAGGCCTCCGAGATGGCGTCTGGTCCGTGAGTGACACTGGATGATGACAGGTCCGCCTCACTCACAGCTGTTGAGGTGTGGTCGTCACCGATGCCTGAGTCGTAGCGGCGGAGGGAGACGCCGTTCTCTACTTCCAGCACACCGGAGACAGGAGCCAGTCTAATCCCCCTGATATGAGGAGAGCTCTGAGACCTGACAAAGCATTCCTCAGATAAAGACATGCGATCACAGAGATCCAGCGGAATTCCCACAGTTGGGGGGTGGGGGGTTGGGAGGAGGAGGCAGACGGTGTCTTTGAGCATTTGTGTGAAAAAGAAAACTGAAAAAAATGCTTCTTCAGTACAAGAGAACCTTAACTTGACATCACCCCTACAGAGAGCTTCTCTCTCTCATCTCTCTCTCTCTCTCTCTCTCTCCCTGTCTCACCCGTCACGACCCTCTCCTTCTGCCTGTTGTGACGGCGAAGACTGTCTCAGAATCAAGGCTACAAATGCAAACCAGACCAGTGACCATCTTCTCTCACCTGGGCCTGTCTGTGCCGCTCCTGATCTTTAACCTCCCCACGCCTCAGTGGGTAAAGTGAATTAAAAAAGCTTTTGTGTCAGCGAAAACCACAAGACATGCTTTAATGTGAGACGAAAAACAAAGTTGTTAAATATCAGTGACAGAGTGTGAGAAGAAACAGCTTCATCTCAGAGAGAACTCCTGTTTGTTCCTTGTTACTGTGTGGTTGATATAGTGACCTGCGTGCGCAAATAATGGACGCCAGGAGAATCCTTGGCGTTTCCTCTGCCATTTCACTGCAGTAAATCTACATATCGAGTTTGAACGTGAGCCCTCACCTGTCAAAAGAAATGGACTGTTCTCGGGCTGCATCCTCCATGCTTCCCAGAAACGCCGACGGCAGCAGACTTGGATCCACCATGATGTCATCACCCTGAGCGCTAACCAGGCTGCGGAGAATGTCCTTCACATTTTTGCCCTTTGAATCGCCGGCAGCACCGGAGGGTCTGACCTCAGACGACAGCGCGGACAAGGCCTCCGAGATGGCGTCTGGTCCGTGAGTGACACTGGATGATGACAGGTCCGCCTCACTCACAGCTGTTGAGGTGTGGTCGTCACCGATGCCTGAGTCGTAGCGGCGGAGGGAGACGCCGTTCTCTACTTCCAGCACACCGGACACAGCAGCACTGTCTGAAAAACAAAAAAACAAAACAAAACAAATGTCTCTCTTAATGTGTAACTTAACAACTATAAACACACTTCTCTGAGTTTTGCACAACAACATAACAAAAAGATGCTGCTGTGTGACAGCTGTTATGCAGCACTACGCTGTTAAACTCAATGAGTTTTAGCTCCGTTTTTAAAAGGCCAGACTGTGACAAACGGCTACAGCTGACCCACATGAAATCCCTCAACAAAAATCTATAACTGCTGTTTATAAATTCAATTTCTGGGACGGTTGAGCATTTTTATAGCAACAAAAATAAAATCTGCCATTCCGGTAATTTTATGAGCTCTTATTTTTACCAGTAAAATCTTATTCTAACCATTCTATTCCAATTAAAACACATTTTTATTATTAAGACTTAAAAGATCCAGATTTCTTTGAATTGAACTTATTTGTTTTAATAAATGAAGACAATGGAGGATCGGACATTCTAAACTGACCATACTGTAGGAATGAATGCATCTATATGTGACCTAGCGTAGGAGTCACACCCCCAACCCCTCCCTTGGGACCTTTGGGGATTTTTGTCTTTCTTTTTTTTTTTCTATCTTTGCAACGAAATGTGGTTTGTGTAGTTTGTTGTCACAGTTGTTTAATCCTCTTCATAACGTGCCAAGCATTTTCAGTGAGAGACACATCTGGACTGCAGGCAGGTCGGTCAACCACTAAACTATTTATTGACTTATTAGTTTAGTGTGTGAACATCTTTTGGTTCTACAGGGTTTTTTTTCTGATTCCATATTCCTCCACAAGACACTTCTTTCCTCTGAGGTTAGGGTTTACCTGTGCTCTTTGCAGACTGGGATCTCTGAAGGTTCTTCTTGTCATTGTGAGGCTCCAGGATGTCACGGTACTTGGACACCATGAGCACGGAGATGAAGTAAACCACGGCGAGCGCCAAAAACTGAGCCTGCTTACTGTCCTCCTGGAACAAACAAAATACACTAAACAATCTGTTCACTTTTAATGTCTGCGTCTTGTTCACCGCCGACAGACGCACGGGGGGTGGGGAGGGGGGTGTATGATCAGTTATGAATGCGTTTGATGGACATCTCACAATATCTCTGAAGACGACGGCCCTGAGGCGGTTAATGTCCATGTCCTGCAGCAGTCGGTCCAGGTCCCTGACTGGAGACATTCCACCTGTCACTGCGTCAACAGGACTCTGCGTGCATACAGGGAAAAAAAAAAAAAGTCAAACCATTACCACATGTTATTGTCTACAAGTCAAGTCCACAAAGCACGAGCACTCTCACACCGTTCACTATGTTCAACTATATCCACGAGCACTTGATGGTGTAGTTTAAGGTTTCACAGCTTAGGGAAGCTCTGTCTCCTGGGATTATGTCCTTAACATAATGGCTTTTCTATAGAGCCGCTGCATTATAAATGAGCTTTAACACCCAGTTCAGGGAAGACCAACAAGACTTTACTGGAAGTCACTGGATCAAATCAAAGAGCCAATGACAAAAACATGCTCTAGTGTAACAAATAGCAACCACTGCGGTAATATAATAAGTTATGAGCTAATGCAATAACACTGGGTGGTTGGTGGACAACGGGGCTACGGACGCACACCAGGAAACGGGTGTGGAGGGATCTGACCGGTCAGCAAGTAAAGTCAGAGGAACAGCACATTACTGAGGTTATGATACTTTATTAGGGAAATACTGCATTTAATTATGTGATTATATAATCTGGATTACTTGCCTGTGCAGACGCAGACTTGGCCGTCCCAAGCATGTTGCTGGGCACAGCTGTGTAGTGACAGACTTTGCCTTCGGAGTCTTGCTTGCACTTGGCTTGCTGACACTCCAGACAGTTTCTGACTGCGATCGCACAAACTAGGAAAGAAGCAGAGGAACGAGAAATCACGGGACAATATGTGGTAAAATCTTTCTCTATGGGAAATGCAAATATAAATATTCAGCTCCTGAACTAAGAAAACAACAATGGTTAGGGACAAAGAGGGAGTGGGTGTGTGTTTGTGTGTTGTCCAAGTCTATATATATATATATATAACTATCCTTGTGTTGACATTTTTTTTTGTGAAATGCTTTGTTGTGTCAATGAGAAAATACTGTGTGGTCACCACTGTTAAAGCAACTGAAATAAATCATCTGAGACTTAAAAAAAAAAACAAACAAAACAAAACTTGATTTTGACCCTTGATTGGTGACCCTCGATTAAAGGTCAGGAAAAGGTGCATCTCTTTGTAAAAATCCCTTATCCTCTTACAATGGTGAAATAATTTTTAGAAAGTCAGAATTTATTTTGGAAAAAATGAAAATCCATCCAGCTGAGGTCTAAGGTTGGCTAAAACCACAGTGGGAGAGAGAGAGGGCGTAAGCAGGAGAGACAGAGAGAGAGAGAGAGAGATAAACAACAGAGAAAAAGTGGGGCCACTACAAGGTCAGTGCC